GTAATATGTCGCTGTTCCTCTTTCTAATGAACTCCTCGTGGTATCAGGGGTGTGGGGATGGTGTTCTAGGATCTTCTAAGTGGTATCTTGTCCATGAATAATTGCTAGTTCTCTTCTTGTAAGAGAGTGAAGTCAGGAGTGACTTATATCACCATTTTGGTATTGTCTCTTCTCACTTCAGTTTTTTAAAATTTATAGTGATGGTATTGGTCACAAAACTATGCGAGTTTCAAGTTAGCAACTCACATAATTCATGCACTGCATTGTTTGCTCATCATCCAAAGCAAAGTCTCTTTCTGTCCATATTTATACCCCATTACTCACTTACACCTACCCTCATGCCTCATTCATTTCCATCTCTCACCCCACTGTTGCCTGTGTCTATGTGTTATAAGAAGGTGAAGGGATTAAGCAAAAAATAAATTAAAAAAATATATATATATGTATCACCTTCATTGAAAGATAGTTTTGCTAAATATAAAGTTTGTGTTTAAAAGACTTTTTTTCATAGCACTTTGACTCTGCTGTACTACTGCCTTCTGACCTGAAAAGTGAGCAGTTCATTTTACTGGAGTCCCCTTTTCCATGACTAATTTTTTTCCCCCTTGCTCTTTTCAAGATTTTCTCTTTCTTTGTTTTTGGATTTCAGTAGTTTTGCTGTTGTCTGGATGTGGCTTTTTGTGTTTATTCTATTTGTAATTTATTGTGCTCTTAGATGTATACATTATTTTCTTCAGATTTCAGAAAGTTTTGGACATTTCTTCTAATATTTTTCTGCTTTCTCTCTTCTTTTCTCTGTTACTCCCATTATTCCAAGTTGGTAGACTTATAATACTCCATCATATTTCCTGGTGGGTCTAGTCACTTGTCTTCAATATTATTTTCTCTGTCAGCATAACCTTTATCAATCTTTTCTTTCTTCTTTTTGATAGGTATGTATTTATTGCCATTTTATTGTTCATAGTTTTGATATTTTTCTTAAATAAGTCCCTTTAATATTTCATATATTAATGGTTTGGTGATGATGAACTGCTTTAGTTGTTTCTAAAAAAATTATCAATCTTTTCAAGATTTCTGATTCTTTTTGTCCTACCAATTAAAACCTGCTATAGAACTATTTTAGAAAAGTTTTATTTCAATTATACTTTTTAACTGCTGAATTTCTATTTGGTTCTTTCATTTTTTATAATTTCTGCATCTTTATTGATAATATCTATTTGAAAAGACATTGTCACTATACCTTTCTTTATTTATCTGAGGTTTATTTCCTTTAAATATATTTATAATAGCTGTTTTCAAGCCTTTATCTGTTATGTCTGTTACCTATGCCCTTTCCAAAGTAGTTTCAGACTAGCTCTTTTTATCTGTATAGGTTACACTCTTGTCTTTTTTTTTTTTTTTGCCTGTTTCATAATTCTTTTGTTGAAAACTGGACATTTTAAGTAATGCATTGTAATAAATCTGGATACTGATTTCCTCACCAGGACTTGTTTTTTTGCTTGTTAATTTATTTAATGTCTAGACTGGACTATTTTAGTGAAATCTGTTTCTCCTGCATTGGGAAGCCTCTGATATTGCTCCTTAACACACCATCGGCCAGATTCAGCCTCCCTTGGGATGACAGTGATTGTAGCAGAGTTCTCTGTGGTTGTCTCTTTTTCCCAATGTTTCTGTTAAGCTGCCTGAACTCCTTTGATGTCACGACTATGATTAGCCTCCTATAATTGCCAGCTGAAGACTCTATTGTTTTCAGCAATGTTTTAAGAAGTAAATTTTCCAATAGTCTAATCCTTTTAAAAAATAAATTTAATAATATTTTAGAAAATCTATTCCAGGCAAGAGTGGATAAGAGGTCTTGGGGTATCTTCCTCTTCTCAGCCCTCACTTGTGGGGCAGAAGCTCTAACCAGTTGCAACAGGCAGAGAATACTAGAGCCTGATCACCTGTGCCCTCAGCAAGTGATAAACAATTAAGAGAAGGTAGTGGCACAAAGGAAGCAGAAAGGAAAACTGGAAACCATCTTGAAATCTTGAACTTTAACAAATAAAACCAGGAGAAAAAGCAACCAAGAAGAGTGCTGGGACCAGAAATAATATTGTAAAGGGCCAAAAGTTTTGTGACTTTCACTATTAAATATATTAGTTTGTTTATTCTATTTAGCATATTTTGGCTATATTGGGTTGAATAAACATAATATTAAAGTTTGTCTCATTTCTTTTTTTTTAATTTTATTGTAACTTATTTTTTCAAATACATTTGTCTCTGCCTACCCCCCACCACTTTCCCTTGCCCCCTCTCTCCTTCCCTCCCTCAGCTCTTCCCTTTTGGTTTTGTCCATGAGTCCTTGCTATATGTTCCTTGACTTTCCCCTTCCCTTCCTTTTCCCCTCCCCCCTCCCTCCTTCCCTCTTGTCTCTGATTTCTTTTCCTTTCAGTGTTGCTGGTCTTATTTTCCTTGCACCTTTGTATTGGTTAGGTTCCACTTATAGGTGAGATCATATGGTATTTGTCTTTCGCCCCCTGGCTTATTTTGCTTAGCATAATGCTCTCCAGTTTCATCCATGCTGTCGCGAAGTTTAGTCGTTCTTTTTTCTTTCTGCTGCGTAGTATTCCATTGTGTATATGTACCATTATTTTTTGATCCAATCATCTACTGAGGGGCATTTAGGTTGCTTCCAACACTTGGCTATTGTAAATTGTGCTGCTATGAACATTGGGGTGCATAGGTTCTTTTGTATTGGCGTTTTGGTATTCTTAGGGTATAGTCCCAGCAGAGGAATCACTGGATCAAAAGGCAGTTCCATTTTCAGCTTTCTGAGGAAATTCCACACCGCTTTCCACAGTGGCTGCACCAGTCTGCATTCCCACCAACTGTGTACTAGGGTTCCCTTTTCTCCACAGCCTCGCCAGCACCTGTTGTTTGTGGATCTGTTTATGATGGCCATTCTGACCCGTGTGAGGTGGTACCTCATGGTGGTTTTCATCTGCATTTCTCTTATGGCTAGTGATGCTGAGTATCCTTTCAAATGCCTCTGGGCCCTCTGTATCACCTCCTTGGAAAAGCGTCTGCCCAGGTCCTTTGCCCATTTTTTGATTGGATCGTTTGTCTTCTTGGAGTGGAGTCGAGTGAGTTCTTTATATATCTTGGAGATCAAACCTCTATCTTATGTATCATTAGCGAACATATTTTCCCATAGGGCTGGCTCCCTTTTCATTTTGCTGATGTTTTCTTTTGCCGTGCAGAAGCTTCTTATTTTGATGAGGTCCCACTTGTTTATTCTTTCCTTTATGTCCCTTGCTTTAGGAGACATATCAGTGAAAAAATTGCTGCGTGGGATATCTGAGAGTTTCCTGCCAATGTTCTCCTCTAGGACTTTGATGGTGTTGCGACTTATATTTAAGTCTTTGATCCATCTTGAGTTTATTTTTGTGTATGGTGTCAGCTGATGATCCAATTTCAATTTTTGGCATGTAGCCGTCCAGCTCTCCCAACACCATTTGTTGAAGAGGCTATTATTGCTCCATTTTATGCTTCTGCCCCTTTTGTCAAATATTAGATGCCCATAGAGACCTGGGCTTATTTCTGGGCTTTCTATCCTGTTCCACTGGTCTATGGGTCTGTTCTTGTGCCAGTACCAGATTGTTTTGAGTGTAGCGACTTTGTAGTAGAGTTTGATGTCCAGTATTGTGATCCCTCCTACTTTGTGTTTCTTTCTCAAAATTGCTGAGGCTGTTCAGGGTCGCTTATGGTTCCATATAAATGTTTGAAATGTCTGTTCTATTTCTGTGAAATATGTCATTGGTATCTTAATAAGGATTGCGTTGAATCTATAAATTGCTTTGGGTAGTATGGACATTTTGAGGATATTAATTCTTCCAATCCATGAGCACGGTATATGCTTCCATTTATTTGTGTCTTCTTTAATTTCTTTTTTCAATGTTGTATAGTTTTCTGCATACAGGTCTTTTGTGTCTTTGGTTAAATTTATGCCTAGGTATTTTATTTTTCTTCATGATATATCGAATGGTATTTTTTTTTCTGATTTCTTCTTCTTCTATTGCATTGCTGGTATACAAAAATGCCTTTGATTTCTGAATGTTGACTTTGTATCCTGCTGTTTTGCCAAAATCACTTATTAGGTTGAGGAGTTTTTTGGTAGAGTCTACAGGGTTCTCTATGTACACTATCTTGTCATCTGCAAACAATGATAGCTTCACTTCCTCCTTTCCTATTTGGATGCCTTTTATCTCTTTTTCTTGTCTGACCGCTGTGGCTAGGACTTCCAATACAATGTTGAAAAGAAGCGGTGAAAGCGGACATCCTTGTCGTGTTCCCGATCTTAGTGGGAAAGCTTTCAGTTTTTGCCCACTGAGTATGATATTGGCTGTAGGTTTTTCATATATAGCCTTTATTATGTTGAGGAATGCCCCATTTATTCCCATTGTGCTGAGTGTTTTGATCATAAATGGGTGCTGTGCCTTATCGAATGCTTTTTCTGCATCTGTCGAGATGATCATATGGTTTTTGTCTTTTATTTATGTGATGTATCACGTTTACTGATGTCTCATTTCTTTTAGCCTTTTTTTTTTTTACTGGAGCTAATAGAAAATTTAAAATTATATTGTTGCTTACATTATATTTTATTGAACACTACTGCTCTACACCAAGTTTCCTACATGAACATAAAAATTACTTCCTCAGTGGAAAGGAAAAGTAAAGATAGGTTACTTGTATTTTTCTAGATAACTTAATCGTGTCCTTTCTGACATATTATAAAATGCAGAATCAGATATAAGTATAGAAATGTTTATGAATTTATATTGCCACAATTTCTCAGCACTCATTTATCTCATGATGAATGTTGACGAACAAATCTTAGTGCCTAAATAATTTTGTATAGTATTAATATGAAAACAAATATTACATTAAATTTATCACCATGTTTTCTTATTCTTTTTTTTGTCAAAATAATAAATGACTACTTCCTCCCTTATATTCAGCTCCTTGTTTTTGTATAAAAAACATCAAGGAAAATTTATTAGTCAATGTGAAACAAAATTGATTTATATACACAGAAGATGTGAAGATAAGGTTTTTAAGGATCTCATTTTTAAGCCTGGAACCAATAAAACAGGAAAGCTTGCACGATGGAAACATGTAAGTATAATATGAGATACTATAATTATAATTAATGTAACATTGGTGTTTCTTCAATCTTTTAAAAATATCTTTCAATATATTGTTAATATTCTGCTTGTGATTTTCTTGATGTAAGAAAGGATATATAATGTACAAATGTAATTTTTGTAATATATTAATTACTCTTACCACAAACATTTTATAATCATGCTCTCTTTATATATATTTCTTTATTAATTATTGGAAGTAGAGATTAATAGTAATATAAAATTACTTCTTGGTAGTTTAAAACAAAGAAATATTTAGTTTATTAAAGGCTGATAATTCTACGCATAGTATAATATTCATTCATTGTTTTATGCTAAATTATGTACTGCTTTGAGGACTAAATGAAAATAAAAAGAAGCATATTTATTGAGTGCCTACTGTGTACTGGGCACTGTGCTAGATATTTTGCATATAATAGGTAATTTATTTTTCACAACCCTGTAAGATAGGTATTTTTATAAATAGGGAAACTGAGGCTCAGAGGAACCAACTTGCCAAAGCCACAGAGTTAAGTAATGTTGCTACGACTTTCACTCAGGTCTTCTGACCCCAGAGTTTGTGCTTTTTGTTTTTAGGTAATGGTAGAAAGAAGACAGTATTGTAGTACTATAATTAACAAAATTGAACTTTTTATAATTTGTAAAGCCCTGTTTGTGATAAATAAACTTGTATATTATTATAATGAGTTTAGGGAAATGTAGAGACTAAATCTAGGTTATTATTGATTTTGCTAGGACTCCCAAGAGCATTTGAAATATTCTTTGGCATAGTCAACCCTTTTCCTCAAAGGGTAACTGGGAAAATATATGTACAAGGAATAATAACAAACAAAGCAGTTACTAACTGGCACTTTGGCCTAAAATTCCATTGCAAAATTTTAGGAATCTGGGCTAGACTATGATATATTCTTTGTTATCGAGATTTTGTTGGCTTCAATTGTTTCTTTTACTTATTTCTTCTATTGCAAACATGAATTTTAGTAGATATATAGTATGAGAAAAAGTGACACCCGTTGGAGCCAAAAAGAAAAGAGAGCATAGGGGGGAAGCAATTTGCCATATATTTATCTCAGAGGAAGCTTAATTATTCACTTTCCTCCTGTCCCATGCCCTCACATCTGATGCTTTCTTAAGTTGGTTTTTCATATTTTGTTAGGAAAGAGCATAAGAGGTAAGAAAGAGTGATGGTCAAAAACCATTATGCCCTTGGCTTGACATTTCTGGAGAGTGCATGTGTTCTTCCTTGTTATCAGCAAAACAAGGAAAGGGATCAATAGAACAATCCAATCCAATTGCTGTGGAAGGGATCTCTTACTTGGCACCACTTCTAGCACACTGAATGTTTACATCTTATACTCCTTTATGGCATTGCATAGTCCCTGGAAACACCAGGTATAATCTCATTTGGCAGTCATTTATACTAAAATAAGATTTTCTTTAGAACTGCTTATTTGGTTAAATTCTAGAATATTTTATTGATTTTTCCTTCCAAAGATTCATTTTTCTCGTTACTAAAAACATGACTTTTTTTGTAAAACATGACAAAATTGTTCTCAAATACAATCTTCCTGTGAACTCTTTACATGAATTATTATTAAATACATTTTCCTGAAGGTTTATAGATTTATTTTTTAAACCTGATGAACTTTTTATCTTTTAATATATTATATTTTTTAATAAGGGTTCAAAAATATAATCTAACTTTTAAATTATACTACATATGCATGGAAAATACGTGAAAGCCAATATTAATAGTGGCTATTTAAGTTTCAGAATATTAAGTAATTATTATTTTTTCTGATAGTTATTTTTTTTCTAATCAGAAATCATGTTTTATTAACATAGTGCAGCAAAAAAGATTTTTCATCGTGGATAAAAAGATTATACCTCCATTATTTATAATATAAATATAGAAATACTGCCTTCAGGAACCTCTGTTTTATGTCATATTCCACATAATCATTTTTTACAGTTAATAAGCCTTATCTTTTTTAAAGCATTGTCAGGTTCATGGCAAAATTAGTAAAAGGACAGAGTTTCCATATATTCCCTACCCCCGCACATGCACAGTCTTTCCTGCAGTGGTACATTTGTTATGATCTACGAACCTGAGTTAACACATCATTATCTCCCAAAGTCCATAGTTTAAATTAAATTAGTTTATTTAGTGTTGTACATTCTATGGGTTTTGTCAAATATATAATGATGTGTATCCACTGTTAGAGAGTGTCATACAGAATAGTTTTAGGGCCCTAAAAACCCTCTGTGCTCTGCATATTCATCCCTTCCTTCCCCAACCCTTAGCAGCCAATAATCTCTTTACTGTCTCCATAGTTTTTTCTTTTCTTTTCCAGAATGTCATACAATTGGAATTACATAGTATGTAGCCTGATCAGATTGACCTCTTTCACGTAGTAATATGCATTTAAGTTTCCTCCACACCTTTTTATGGCTTAATAGCTTATTTTTTAGCACTCAATTATAATCCATTCTCTGGATGTACTACAGTTTAATTATTTATCCATCTAATGTAGTACATCTTGGCTACTTCCAAGTTTTGGCAATTATGAACAAAGCTGGCATACATATCCATGTGAAGGTTTTTATGTAGACATAGATTTTAATCTGTGGGGGGATAAATACAAGGGACTATGAATGCTGGATCATATGGAAAGAGCATGTTTGGTTTTGTAAAAAAAAAGTTGCCTGTCTTCTGAATTTGCTGCCCAATTTCTCATTCCTACCAGCAGTGAATGACAGTTGCTATTTCTCCACATCCTCGCTGGCATTAGGTGTTGACAGTGTTCCGGATTTTGGCCTTAGACTGGGCCTAAAAGATGTGTAATAGTGTCTCATTATTGCTTCAGTTTGCAATTTCCTAATGATATATGATGTTGAACATCTTTTCATATGTTTATCTTCTTTGGTGAAGTTTAGTTTTCATTGTTAGAAAAATGAGATGATTTATTACATGGTCTATGTGAGTAGGAGAGGAAAGAGAGTCACCTTACTCGGGGCTGCTGCATTGCAGAGTGTCCAAGTGCAATTACATCGCTGCCTGTGTGGAAGACATTTCTTGGAGTTGTGCAGACCAAAGAAACCATGGCAGGGTGAGGTTGTCCTAATTTTCTAAAGCCAAGTAACTAATTATATTTGAGGGTGCTTTTTTTTTTTGCACCTACTTTAAATTCAGGTAAATGTGGAGGACAGAAAAAAAATAATCAGTTTTATAACACTGCAAGCCACAAAATATTGAATCTACTTTTGCCCTCTTTTTTGTCTAGTTTTACAAGAATTGATACTAAGAAAATACTGAGAAGGTTGATCTGATATCAGATTCAGATGTGGAATGAGTTATCTCACTTTATTATGTGGGGTGTTAAAAAAAACTTATGGACAGATGTTTTAATTTTTTAAATTTTATTGTTTTGTGAAGTGAGAGTGCTTCCTTATGCTAGAAACTGACCTTTATTATCAATGAGCTCTGAGGTGTTGTTTTAGCTTATATAAGCCTAAGAAAGTAGCTTTGAAATGACATGTTTATATCTTTTCTAAAAATTGCTCTTTGTTGTTTGTCAGTCATTTTGGGGCCTTATCAACAATACAGTTCATTTTAAATGGGTATTTTTTGAATTCTTAGAGTGTTCTTATCACTGTAATAAACTCTAAGGTCTTAAAAATTGAAATTAACAAGTTTTATTCTGAACCTTATAGGTGGAGGGAAAGAACTAGGAAAAGCTCACTGGGTAGTAAAGAGTATACAAACTTAAAGTTAGTCCATTTTCTATATCTAATGGGTCTGATGAGAGAAAATTGTTTTTCTGAATATTAAGACTATTCGGAAATAGTCGTGCTTAGTGTCAGGTAGAAGTATGAGATATTTATCAGAAGAGTTTTGAGAGCAGATACTAGGGCTACCAAAGGCTAAGAATAATTTAATTTATGTTTAATTCAGTCTTTTTGGGGTCCAAAGCAACAACAATGGTGGCTTAGAATTGAAGCTGTTGCTTAATGACCCCAGCAACACATAGAGGGCTAAATTTAGCGTTTAATAAAGTGTTCCAGGTATTTATTATGTGCTTTCTAGGCTTCCGGCCTTCTGCTCCTCACTGGTAGTAAAAATAAAATGAGGACTGTTCTTTTAATCAAAGATTTACTGAGACTAAATGGAGAAGACTTGGGGCCAGATGAATAAGCCTAGAACAAACACATACAAGGATAGTACTAGATACCATTTGTAACTGCTCAAATTCGGGAATGCAGTTAGTAGACACCTTCAATGGTTAGTTTTTTTAATGTTTACCTCTGCTTTCAAGTTTAGGTCACGCTATTCTCTAGGCACCCTCCAGGCAGTTACTGAGTAAGGCAGCATTACAAGGACTTGGCCATTTCTGCTCTCTGTGAGACTTTCTTTAGACTTTGCTCCGGGACTCTTGGTTAGCAGAAACTTTGGCTCTCCCTGCTTAATCTTTTTCTTCCATTTTCCTTTAATGAGTGTTACTTCCCAATAAACCTTCTGTGCACTTAACTTTGTCTTGTTATTTCCTTTCTGGAAGATCCAGCATGTGACACCATTTATTATGCTTAGCTCCATAGATGTGAATAAGCAAGATTTGAAACCAAGCAATTGCAGAATTAGTTTTGAAAAGCAGCAGGTAAATGGTAATTTAGTACATAATCTGAAATATAAAACTGTGGGGGTTGCCAAGGTCAACGGAGAGAACACTAGAAAAAGGATAAAATTGAACAGAGGATTTACATAATAGCATAACATCTGGAAAAGGTAAAGGGGTAGGATCTATAAAGTGCTTATAGTAATAACAGATACTTGTTCAGTGAGGTGAATGAAGGAAAATCAAGTGAGGTAAAACTGAGACAGAGAAATTAGGAAAGAGTAACAAGGGAGATCCTTATAAATTATAACATATGGTAATTTTATTGGCATCTTTTAACATCTTCCCACAAATGTCA